ACTCTTATATCACAATAAACGAATACGTAGATCCATCGAACATATGGAGACGGACTGGCAAATGGCAAAGAGAGAACGTGATCGTGAAATGATGTTGAAGAACGACCGCATAGGACGGATCATAGCGGGTGCTTGTACGCTGATCGTACAAGGTAGTTCGTTAAGTTACAACTTAGCAAGAGGACTGTCACCAATAAACGCGGTGATCGGTAAAGAGACCATGAAATAGGTCGCTTACCGTGCCCATCGTACAATAAGATCGTGGATACCAGATTCAATCCAGTGTACAAAGTTGTGCTTACACAACAATGTCTTTCATCTATTGTGGTGAGCAACTCCAAGATCAGTGGGTGCAGTCTTGCCGCGGTTTTCGCGATGCACGGCTGCGGTCAGCTCAGAGTGGTGATGTCGCATCTCGAAGAGCTCGTTGACGAAAAACGAGATAAGCTTTAGTTAAGATTGGCGAATATTAAAGAGCGGCATCTACGAGCATTGAGGTAAGATAAGTTGTGTGTTCTATACAGATAAATTCTATATAGATAATTTATATAATAATGATCAATGAACTGATGTAGTCGCATTTTAGCAATGTGAACATTTCAATAATCTTTATTTTAATGTCTCTTCTGTAGCATGCAATTTTTTAATTATGTAAAAAACACGGAACCGTAAGAAAAACATTAAAAGAAGTATATTCATGCTTTCTTGCAAACTCTTAATGTTTTACAAATGTAACAAATGTGATAATTATAATTCAACAAATATAACAGAAATTATATTTATTATATTATAATTATTGTGTTTATGACGTATTTCTGTACAGAGTTTAATCATGATTGTTGCAGATATTTTTGTCTCAATTACAAGTTTCTCTCGCGTATGGAGACGATAATGCGTCAAATATGTTTTGTAGAATTAGTCGGGTAAACGTTCAATTTGTGCATGCTGGGATATTATACCATTATGGTATGTTTAAAAACTTGCAAAGTTATATAAATATCTTAATAAAATATATTTGTGTTTCTTTAATTTTTATCTCGAATACTATCAAGTTACATATCTTCTAGGAGTTGCAGGAAGAAAGTGCACATACTATAATAACATATATCATAATTCTCACAGCAATGATGTTCAATATTTTCATATTTTGTTTTAACGGCGAACTTGTAACGCAGCCGTTTTTATTCCCATAGTTTTTTCGTAAATTTATAGTTCTCTCTACAATTAACATATTGACTTATAAATTATATCTTGCGACAGGGTAAAAAAGTTGGTGAAGCAACTTATATGACAAACTGGTATCATTTGCCACATAAAACTGCTCTCAATTTAATTTTAATAATTTTGCAATCAAATATCGCTATTAAAACCACAGCCGGAAAAATGTTTCATATGTCAATCCCAACTTTCGCCGTTGTATTTCGAAATTTTTAAATTTGTTAAAATTATGCTATAAGTAAATTTTAAATATTTATTTGTTGAGTATTTCCTTACTGTTGCTATTCAAGCTCTTATGAACATATGAATAATATGTAAGAAAAATGTATATTAAAGTTTTTGGATGTTATGTCTTAATATAAAGCTCAAAATATAAATGTATGTATATATATATATATATATATATATATATATATATATATGTATATATGTATATATGTATGTATATATATATATATATATATATATATATATATATAGTTGGAAGTACCTCCTATCAGATAATATCACATTTTTACTGAAATTGTTTTTAGATTTAAAACAAAAAATGTTTTCGTAAAACGCACGAAAATAGAATTCAAAGAAAATAGGTGGCAAAAGCGACATACCTATTTGAATTTATATAATATGTCGTATATATGATAATATTTGATACTAAATAGTTCATTAATGCATTTAATGGTGGAATAATATTCATTTATTCAAAATATAATGTTACAAAAGGGAAATATAATTAAATAAATACATATCGTTTTCGATCTTTTTTATTTTCTTACATATTTTACATATGTTATATTTTTAAACTAAATAAAATTAAACTTTAAAATAAACAAATGTTACGTCACAATGGAAGGTTATTAATGAAGTTATGTTAATCACAGAGTATCGCGTCTATCGCATACTGTAGGTATGTCACTTTAAGACACATTCTCATCAAATTTTTCAAGTTATACAGTAAAAAAATGAAGGAAAAAATATTCAAAACATATTTTTACAAAAGCCAAATGCATGTAGAAAAACGTAAAATTTAACAAAATGATAATTATCGCTATTTAGTCTACGTAATTCGTCAATAAAAATTATAGAAATAAAACTTGCAAATTTCTAAAACTCGATATTTGCTAATTTAGCATATAAAATTCATATTGAATGTCTAATAATTAACATTTATTTTTTGCAGCTCGTAATTGATATGATAAACTACGAAGGATAAGTTGTGCAGCTAAAAAAACAAATAAGGGAGCTTTAAGTGGAGCTTCAAAAATTAAAAGAAACAGCAATGAAATATAAAGTAATGGTTGTAATAATGATTGTAATTATGGTTGTAGTTGTGCTTGTGACGGTTGTTGTGCTTGTGACGGTTGTTGTGCTTGTGACGGTGATAGTGATGGTAGTGGTAGTAGTAATGGTTTCGCTGCTGCCTTTTTTAATTTTTGGAGCTAATTGATCATAATTTATTACTGCCAGTAATATTTTTTTACAAGGTAGAATTAACATACTGCACTTGTTTCATCGAAGTGTTATTTTATTGTACCAAAACAAAATATTATATAATTTATTCTGTACTTACGAAAACTTCATCGTTTCCTCGATTTAGTTCGTTTATACTACGTATTCACCACTGTAGACTCGAACGATTATAATCCTCGCATAGGAAAAGAGAACTGATCATCAACGCTGGTAACAGCGTCGAACAAACATAACCTCTCTCTCTCTCTCTCTCTCTCTCTCTCTCTCTCTCTCTCTCTCTCTCGCTCTCTCGCTCTCTCGCTCTCTCTCTCTCTCGCTCTCTCTCATGAGCGCTTGCGACAATATCGAAATCACCTCTGCCGTGCTGCCATCTAACGGAAGAATGTTGAAAGAGCACATTTTTAAAGCCATCGTATTCATCGTAAAATCTGGCGATTTTGGACTTTCAGCTAGAATTTCTCATCTCACAGGACGTATAAAACAAAAGTAAAGACAGTTTTATTAAGGAATGTTTACCCAATAAATCGATTGACTACTCAGAAGCACATCGTTCAGCCGTAACAGCGAAACGCTCTTTCAAGTAGTTCCTTCGCGTAAGATAATCACGGCCGCTCACAGTCTGTGCGGTTGCGCACAAACTAGGCGCTCAAATCACGGCCGTGATTTTTGTGATACTTTACAAGAGGCAAGCCAACATGTCGTAAGTAGTATTCTACAGAAGGCATACGCAATTCCCCCTCCATATATATATGCTCTAAGATACAAACTCCCTCTTGTAAAAATTGGCCTCCGTTTTTAGTCGCGCTCTCTGAGATTGTCTCCGGATGTGGCCGAACTAAACGGGTGACGTCATGCGAAGTGGGGATACGGCATCGCGCGAGTTACCGGATACTTTATATAATTTAGTTTCTTCATTTTTTAATTTTCATCATCTTATGAAAATAGTAAGGGATATATTTATATATATGCATATATGCATGCACACAACCGTATATACGTGCATATGTTGCTTGCTATTACGTCTATCACTCATACTTCAATTGGCGCGTATCCCCACTCCGCATGACGTCATCAGTTTAGTTCGGCCACATCCGTAGACTATTTCAGAGGGCGGTAGATATAGAGCGTGTCACACTTTCCAGACGGAAGTTTGTACCCCCTAAGTAGATATGTTTAAAGGCAGAGACCCACCGTGCAACGCGAACTCACAAAAGGCCTCGAACCGCCGCTCGCGCCGTCTTATATTAGCGGTGAGGCAGAATTTAATCGCGAGTGACGGTCCGACTGAAGCCGTCGCCGCGACGCGGCGACGGCACGAAGCAGCGCCCAGAGCCGACCGCGCGCAAGTACGACCGCCCTTGGAGCTCGGCCGCCCACCATGCACGGTACGCTGTACGGATTTTGTTCCGTACGATTTTGTTCCCCGTTAAAACTTATGAGCGTACGAATAATATGTAAAAAAAATTTATTAAACATTACGTGCACGGTATTTCAAAATTTAAATTAATTATTGAAATTAAAATTTTTAGGTGATTAAAATATCTGTTGCTTATTTAAATATGCTTTGAACTTTGACCACGTAAATATATCAAAATATGACTACGCTATATATTTTAAAAATAGATGTACTTTAAAATAAAATTCCTCATATAATAAATATTTTATATTAATAAATTATATAATAAATAATATTATACAAAAAGTAAGTACACAAATTTGGCGTGCCCGGATCGTATTTGGAATATTAGTCTTCATTATAAAAATTTAAAATGTGTATGTGTTTGTGAGGGGAGTGAGGAAAGACGCATGTGTTTGTTTTAATACGACCCGGGCACGCCAAGTTTATGTACTTTACTTTGGTTATTATGTATAAAAATGTTTTTTTTATTATGAATTTGTTATATAAATTTGATTTTTATATATTTGTCTTTTATATCAGTTATATTTATTGTAACTTGGTAATAATGAATCATTAATTATAATCTATTCTAATTTGATAATAATAAATCATGTACTTGGATCATTTTACTGATTCCATATATTTTAATTGAGTTTTATTTTTTATAATTTTTTGAATAAAAATGTTAGACTTTTTTACACAACTATTTATAGAGGATTTTAATTGAGGTTTTTGTTAGGTTTTTTATAAAGGGTTTTTTAGGTACAATTTATTCGGCTTTATGTACTTGGCGTATTTTTTTTACCTTTGTTACGTATAATGTTCAATAAACTAAAATAAAATGTTACTCTTACATTTGAGAGAAGTATTAATCCATGGTTTTGATAAAATAAAAATGTTAAATTGGTATAATCTATATGTTAAAAATGCTATCCTTACATACCAAAAATGTTAACGTTAGATATTTAAAACGTTAAGTTAACATAATCAACATGTTAAAAGTCTTAAATTTTATATATAAAAAGTGTTAAAACTACACATTTAAATTGTTAAGTTAACATAATCTGTGTGTTGAAAATCCAAAGTTTTACATACAAAAAGTGTTAAAGCTACACATTTAAAATGTTAATTAGTATTACTTTTGTAGTATTATTATTATAAAATTATTTATTATTAAAAATAACGCATTTTTCCGCCAAAATTATTTAATTGAACATTTTTATATATGAGGATTACACCATTACATTATGTAATATACAGTATAAAAAATATAATATCAGTAATAATTATCGTATCATTTTCTGAAATGTTATATATTTTTCAAGCTATAGTAAATGATAAATTTATCATGTCCATTATAAATAATAAAGAATTATTTTTTATAATATATCCTACATTTATTGGACAAATATCAATTGTACTCCAGCTTTCCAATAAAACATGCACTGTATTTTATATTGCTTTACGGATAGAAAAACTTAGCGATTATCTACGATTACTCGCGAAAAATATCTGCACAGAGAAACCAAGTCTTACACATATGATTTATAAACAGCGGTCAACTTACACACTACGCGAGGAAAAATAGAACTCCTTTGCGAATATGACTATGAAATATACCCGTTTTCTGACATGACCGATCGCCTGATCGTTCTTCTTCGCCAAGGACAGCTAGGTACACAAGCGCGTGACATATCCACACCCTCGAGGCTTCCTTTCGCACAAACCTTTCAATTGCTATCAATCTTCCGTATCTCGAATGCACACACTATCGTTAAAAAAGTCGCAGTCCATCGCGATCATCTACGATTACGAGAAAGATATACAGATGAGCATCCAGCTGAATCGATGGATATTGAAGCTGACCGAGATCGGCCGAGTCCTCTTAGATAAACAGGTGCATTCATGTACTGGTGAACATGTTCTACACCTGTCCGATCAGTTTCATCTTCGTACCGTGTGCCTTCTACGTTATCTTCGATGTTGAAGATACATATCTTGAAGTTCACTAGGTCGTTGAGTTCCTGCGTGATGGTCATCGGTTAAGTATTACTCGTTAATCTTTCGCAGGGGCGATATTCGCAAGTGTATCGATTACATGAAGAGTGACTGGATGAACACCACATTGGAAGATACCACGGCGACCACGCGATCATGATCAGGAACGCGAAGTTTAACCTCGTGGTCATCACCCAGATAGCCAAACCTGCGCGAACGGATTTCGAGCAGAGTTTGCTATCAACTTTTGATGGCAAATAGACAACAAATTTGATGCAGGATCTGTTATATCAAATCTTGCTGCCAAATTGCCGCTAGATATGCGGCAGAGCTTGTTGTCGGATAATTGCTGCAGATTTGCAGCAAAAACCGCGCAGAGCTTGTAGCGATTTGACGGCAGATTGACAGCAGAAACCGCTCAGACCTTGCTGCGCTGCAAACTTTGCGCGGTTTTTGCTGTAAATTTGGCACCAATTGTCCGACAGCAAGATCTGTCGCCAAAACCGTAGCCTTGCACATAAGCCGTCACTGCATCCACCAGCAGCTTAGCAGCCGTTTTCGCGATACACGCCTATGACCTGGAGATTCTAACGCAGCGAATCGTGTATCTGATAGATGGACGGGAAGATCTTTATAATAATGTAGACAAGAGTTGACCATAATTGTGCAGCAACATATGCGTATTTTATACGGTGAGTTTTTTTTTTATCAGAACAACAATGATTCAAAATCTTTGTGTGAAAAATTGATTATTAATTTTTTATTATAATAGTATAATTAAAAGACTGTAAAATATTATTAATTATTTTACGACTTCCTTTGCTCTACGAGAGAACAATGTGATCAATTACGTAATTAAATTAGAATGTCAATTTTGCATGTGAAGGTTTTATTCGTAAATTGAATCTTTAGATTATTTTTAGCGATAATTGTAGTTTTGTCACCAAAGATTTTGCAGCAGGAGTAATTGATTGTTGTAATACCAGTCACGCCTTTAGCATGTTACAATTTTATATTGCTAAACTGCACAAAATATCTCTCATGTAAATTGTAGGGTACCGTAAACATGTATTTTCTCGAATATTATGTTATTATAATATGCATATATGTCTTAACATACGTACATTACTCGCGAAATGCATTATTCCGCAGTAATAAGAACATATATCGATATGTTCAGAAAATATATATGTGCATTATCGAGTGTAGAAATTTTTTAATGGAATGAGAAACAAATGAACTCGCGAGTTACATGATATTACGCATTTTTTCTTCGTATCATTCATCTTCAATATTTTCATATTTTGTTACATATACGAACTCGTTGCCGAGCAGATATAATCTTTCACTGCTAAAGTATATATGTATTTCTTTAATTCTCACGATTAATTGATCAATTCGATGATTTCATAGTAATTTAAAATGCAAATTTAATTTAGGATACAAGTCGTAAAGTGTTACAAGTTGACTGCGTTTTACATAAAATAAATCAGTAAAGCGATTCTTATATTAAACAGAACAATAAAGATCAACGAGATGTTCTATATGATCGATTGGCATCATCTACCGGAAAAATTGGCCCTAGCTATCGTGTTATTGATTGCAATGTCCAATTTGTCGATCAAATTTATCATCGGAAATCTCATAGAATTTTCTTTAAGCAGTTTTGGTAATGTAAGTATAGTAACATTATAAATATAAATTATTCGCTATATAATTTAATTTTTCTTATGTATAAATCGTTTGACTTACGCGTTAAATAAATAAGTTGAAAAACATTGATCGCCTATTCGAACATGTTACGTACACTAATTACTTGAAAGTTCTTCGGACTATACAAATTATAATGTCGCGTGGTGCGTTGTAATAAATAATAAAAATGATTGAATTTGCAGTTTCGTAAAATATACATCGATTGATCAAACAGTCTCGCAAGGAAAAAAAGATACAGCAAGAAAAGCAAGATACAGGTAAATACAGATTTAATAAATAGAGGACGTTCAAACTTACAGAGAAATGTAATATCTTTTCGTAACTTTTCTTTTTTCTTCTTCCATGTCTCTTTAAATTTTTCTAAAACAATATAATTGTATCTTCTTGTGAAATACGAAGCACCGTGCGAAATATTTATTATTCATTTAAACATTTCATACGTTGCGGTTATGAATATGAAAGTATTATGGCAGAGAAAACGATAACTTATCTTTCACGTAATAAAAACAGATTTATTTCCATATTTATTCTATTCAAGACAGTGCAGTTGAGAATATTTATCTTTTAGCATAAAAGACCATATTACGCGAATGAATAATGCACCATGTTTTCACATAGCATGATGTATAACTGACAGTAACTTGTTCAGCCGTTTCCGTCTCTATTATTCCGTATACCGTGAATTACGTTGAGACTCGATGCAACAAGTTGTGAGTAATATAAGTATCGATTACGTGTATTGTCACAGTCAGCCGGCACAGTAACGTCTCGTTCCCCGTCAGCAATAAACCATGCAACCGCGCAAGCGCTGCTCTAACTATTACTTGCCGTTCAGACTCACAGTCAGTGGTCGAGACTAGTACTTGGCGCACCTGCGGTTAATCCGAACACAATGCGTTCTCTCGGCACACACGAGACCACGCTAGACGTTCCTAAACAAAATAACAATTACAGTTTACAATTCAATCGTTGGTTCTTGAAGCCGATAGGCGCTTGGCCGGAATTACCCACATGTTCGGCTACCGAAAGAACTGTGTCGAAAATTCTCAGATTAATATGTCACACTTTAATAGCTCTCACAGTGATACCCTCCATACTATACATACTGCTCGAAGAGAAGGACATCCGCCTGAAGTTGAAAGCTGTAGGACCAACGAGTCATTGGCTCATGGGTGGATTAAATTACTGCTCACTGTTGTATCAGAAGAAGCAGATACGTAGATCTATCGATCATATGGAAATGGATTGGCGAATGGCTAAGAGAGAGTTGGATCGGAAAATGATGCTGAGGAACGCCAGAGTCGGACGTGCTATCGCAGGTCTCTGCGCACTTATCATGCAGGGTGGTATTTTCTCGTATAACGTGGCGAGAGGAACGTCACCGATACTCGTGGTGATCGGCAACGAGACGGTCATGATTGGTCGCTTACCGTGTCCATCCTTCAATAAGATCGTGGATACCAGATTCAGTCCGGTGTATGAAGTCGTGCTCACGTTGCAGTGCCTCTCGACCATCGTGGTGAACAACACGACGGTCGGTGCGTGCGGATTAGCCGCGGTTTTCGCGATGCACGCCTGCGGTCAGCTCAATGTAGTGATGTCGCGACTCGAAGAGCTAGACGGTAAAGAAGAGGGATGCCACGTCGTTCAAAGAAAGTTAGCGAACCTCATTGAGCGACATCTGCGAGCATTAAGGTAAAAATTAATTAAAAGTACTGCACAGGGAACCTCGCCGTTTCAGCTTGTACAGATAAATAATCATGTGTGATTTATTTAAAATTAAATCTTTGTAAAATTTTATTGGAAAAATAGCAAAACATTGATATCATTTCAGCAGCTTAATTCGATATACTGCAATGTACTTATTTTATTTTTAATATGTATTATTTTATTATAGTAACAGATATTATAGATAGATATTTTATAAGTCACATGAGAAATGTGTAATTATCGCTGAATATGTTTATTTCAGGTTTCTCTCACGCATGGAAATAATAATGCGACAAGTGTGTTTCGTGGAGTTAGTCGGGTGTACGTTCAACTTATGTATGCTAGGATATTACACCATTACGGTACGCTTAAAGACTTAAAAAGGTGAATATGTGATGAGATTCACGTTATTTCTCTTTATTTTTATTATAAATACTAACAAATTGTACATGTTCTCCCTTTCAGGAATGGCACGAGGAAAGCACAAACACTTTAATAACGTACATCATTGTATTCACGTCGATGATGTTCAATATTTTTATATTTTGCTACATCGGTGATCTCGTTACGGAACAGGTAAAGTAAACGTACTTACATTATTAAGTTTAACCAACTTTCCGTTTAATTTCTATTAAATAAAAGTATCATCAAACTACTTGGGTCAATAAATTTAACTGTGCGGTAGTGTAAAAAAGTCGGTGAGGCTGCTTATATGACAAATTGGTATCAATTACCACGTAAAACTGTGCTTGGTCTGATATTAATAATTTTGCGGTCAAGCATTGTTATTAAAATCACCGCCGGAAAGATATTTCATATGTCGATTCCTACTTTTGGTACGGTGAGTATTAGAGATCTTATGTACATTTACTTATAAAAATAAAATAAATCTTAATTTATATACATTGTTGAACTGTATAGAAACGGGGATCATATTCACGTACTTGGAGAGAAACAATATAGTTATGTAAATCTGATTGTGACAACCAGATGCAATATTGAATCGGGTTGGCATAACCATATTTATGTACGGGCTAGTCGTACTGTTATTTTCGTATATGTTTACATATGTAATAACTAATCAAATGTAACTAATCAATATATAATAACTAATCAAAATGAACTACCTCTATTTTTTAGGTAATTAGGACATCTATGGCATATTTGAATATGCTTAGAACTTTGACCGTATAAATATCATAAAATATTTACAAAGCAAACATTGTAAAATACAACATTAGCTTAACTCATTGCATAATAAACATTTTGCACTTAAATCTAGGTTACAAACAATTGTTACATGTCCTTATATGTATAGAATTAGTCATATATAATATGCACTTTTATTATGTGCATGTTTTACTTTTAATTTTTGTAATCGTAAGATGGAATTTACATCTTTCGTTTGTCTTTTATCTTACTAATATATTTCTGTAAAAATTTCTATTTTACATGCACAACTGTGTCCGTATAACCTACATTACCCACATCTACAGTTGCAATATTAACGATATAACAAATCACTGTGTTGCTGTTTTCCTCTTGCCTCCCTTGTTTATTTCAGATAATGTGCGTGCGATTGACGGTCGCTAAGCCTCAGGTCCGTCAACTTCATAAGAGCTGTGAGACTTTTCTTAATTTCTGAAAAATTATTATTATATACGTATTATTTCTATATAATATTATATCTTTATCTACGCAACTAACACTTATATTATTGTATTTATAACGATAGAACATTAATTCTAAAATGAATTTTTTGTAAAATGGAGAAAGTTCCGCAAGTTTTGTGAAGTTGACAATCTTGAGACTAAGTGCTGCGACAGTTAGTCGTCTGGCTCGAGCGGGAAAGGCAACAGAAAGAAAGCATAGACCTCGAAAATACAAGTAATTCCAAGCACTACCATAGATTACTTTGCTTCAATCTACAGTAAGAATATTATATTGTCACCGCTTTTTTCACAATGAACGAGACGAAGAAAGGAATATACATAATTCTAATATAAATGAGAAAGGCTGCATGTTATTATTAGCAAATTATAGTTATTCAAAATTGCAGCATCGACATTAAAATTAAGTGTCGGCTCTGTTCTAGTGTAAACGCTGATTTCTGCTCTCTCTGTATCGGAAAAATGTGTTTGTTTTCATGCTACTTTTGCCTGATCAACGTGAATGACAAACGTGATGCAGCAACCACGTGGCAGAAAAAATAATGTTTACGTGGATGTCGAGAGTTGGAGAAAGTCGTGCAGTGAGAAAAAAGCCGCGCTCGCTGCGTGCTGTTTCGTATTACACGTACGTATACTTCGTAGGAAAGCGTCTGCAAAATATAGACATTGTTCTCTCGTTTGTTGTGTTGCTCCGCACATGCTCGACTTTGCAACAATAGCGCTGAATCGATTGAAAAAGCGGAACAATATCAATGTTGATATTTACATTTTTAGAGGTCGTAGCAAAACTTGAAACAAAAACCGTTGAAATGGAGAAATTACTGCGTCTCCCACGAACGTCTCCAACGAAGAATTATTCTTTTGTGAAATCACAATTAGCATAATTACGTAAATACGAAAAACAATGTGTTAGCATTAAAACAAAAATGAATTTAAAACTTTATAAGAAATCTTACTGTGGATTTGTGTCAATGTATCTCGATGCGATTATTTTATTCGTTTTATAGTAAGCTATTAAATATGTCTACATTATTCATGGTTGAACCAACTAGTAAACAAAGAATAAAAGCGATCCGCCAAGTGTAGACTGATCGATATAGTCAATTTTATAGTTAGATTTTTATTTTAAATGATTTAAACGCTCACACACAGTGAGGGTAAATATAATTCGTGCTATAATTATATAGGACGTAAGAAGAAGTGTGAAATGGACACAACTTAATTTATATATAACAACAAATAATTTCAAAAATTTCAATAATCTCTTTGTTATTATTATCAATAAAAAAGACCGCGAAACATAGAAGACATATTAATATTATAAATTAACGTGACAATTTTTATCACGCTTTAACAATGCTCGCGTAGATATATTACATACAATTGTATGTCTAAACAAAATTTGCACGCATGGTGGAATATAAGTACGCGCATAAACTATCAACTCGGAGATATGTACTAGAATTACCGTGTTACCTCTTTGTCTTTCTCTCTACATTGGTAGATAGTAACGTTGGCAACTATCATTACAACAAGTCGCAAAAAACTATCGATCAGCGTAAAGTTCCGCCTATCTGCTAGAAGTTATTTCTTTTCTGCGGCTCGAAGAAAACCCGCGAGAGCCCGCGCAAGCGCTACCAGTCCTCATCGTAGCGCAAAATAGTCTCGGGAATCGGCCAGGTGTCAGTGCATCGCGTGCTTTCGCAGATCAAACATGACTCGTTCGTTGCGCAAATCTCCGTTGAAGAAAAATCTCTACAAGCAGTACATTGACTATAGTCTTCAGTTGAATCGCTGGTTTCTAAAGCCAATCGGCATCTGGCCGACCTCGACTAGCAAGGAAAAGATGCTGTCGCGTGGTATCCAATTCATCTGTTATTCACTGATAGCTTTTACAGTAATACCTTCCGTACTGTACATTTTCTTGGAAGATCAAGATGTCGACATCCGCGTGAAGGCCATCGGACCTGTTAGCCATTGGTTTATGGGCGCGATGAATTACTTGTCACTGTTGCTGCGCGGCGATGAGATACGTCGGTGTATTAAACACATGGAGGTCGACTGGCAGTTAGTGAGCAGAGTGCAGGATCGAGAAATGATGTTAAGAAACGCTAAGTTAGGCCGCTTTATCGCCGGTTTTTGTGCCGTCTTTATGCACTGCGGTGTATTCTCGTACAGCATGATAAAGAGCATGTCGCCGCTGATCATCGTGATGGGCAATCAGACCGTTGCGATACCGCGATTACCGTGTCCATTCTACAGTAACTTCCTCGACACGACGGTCAGATTGACAAATCAAATCGTGCTCATGATACAGTTCTTGTCGGGCTTCATAGTCAATTCGATCACGGTAGGCGCGTGCAGCTTGGCCGCGGTTTTTGCAATGCACGCCTGCGGACAATTTAGTGTGTTATTTCTGTGGTTGAACGAATTAGTCGGCGACGATACGGAGAAAAGAGACAAATTGGTCAAGTATAAACTGGCTAATATCGTGCAGCATCATTTGCGTGTACTAAGGTAGTAAAAGATATCCTGGGTAATATGTGACGTTTGTGGGTAAGAAGTGAGTATCTCTGATTAGGACGCATAGTAGCAGTATTGTTATTTACAGTTTTGTGTCGTGTATCGAACAAGTCATGTATCAGATATGTCTTGTTCAATTGGTGGGTTGCACGCTCAACATGTGTATGATTGGCTATTATTCCATCACGGTAGGACAAGAATATCACTCTCTTTTACGTTTATAATTGTATCAATTAATTATGCACATTTCTCATATTATTTAATGAGAAGGAAAGAAAAATCTAATAATAATCGGGCAAATTAGTATATTCTAATAAATATACTATCAATAATAAATGGTTTTTATACATTTTGATATTTCAGGAATGGGATACGGAAGATACCAAGAACCTAGTAACATACGGTATTTTATTCGCGTCGATGACATTTAACATTTTCATATTTTGCTACATCGGTGAACTTCTAAGTGAACAGGTAACAGAAGATCTACATGAAAATTTAGTATTTGCATTTTCAATCCCATTAACAAACATGTTCACCAAGTTTATTGTAAGTCATCGATGGTTTTTTAAACTTCTTATCGCAATTTGTTGTATAAATGAACGGTATAGTGTAAGAAAGTTGGCGAAACGGCCTATTTAACTGAATGGTACCGTTTACCTCAGAAGACTGCCCTTAGTCTGGTTTTAATCATTTCAAGATCTAGCGCTGTAATTAAGATGACTGCTGGAAAACTGATTGAATTATCCTTAGCGACGTTCGGAGACGTAAGTCTCGATAGTTACGAGGTTATATATACTTTGCTTTTCGCACAGAAAACATTAATATATTAAATAATATCAAATTCATAATTAATGTATGATATATTAATGTGTACAAGTTTGTATTAATTAATTGATTGATTGTATTTAGTGACTTTTTCACACATTATTACATGCTATTTGCATGTCTATTGCAGAATGAAAAGCAATAAATATACCGTTGCATATATAATTACTCAATATCTTAGTCATTAGTGTACATACTTGTCTGATTTCCTGAAAGAAAAAAGAAAAAATAGTTGCCGATATCACAATTTTCTGAATATTTTTCAAAGCAATTAAAGTGTTATTCGTTTCAGGTAATTAAAACATCTCTTGCGTATTTAAATATGCTTCGCACTATTTCTCTGTGAGTTATAAATATTACGTGATCATTAGAATAAATTAGATAGAAAATCACGGGTCAGCTTCACTTATAAAAAAAAGCTATTTGTAGTAACTCACCTATAAAATTAATTCTTTCTTACCATGATCTACAATTGTCCTTTTGATATGATATATTTTATGTATGACAAATGAACTGCGCACGTACAGATTATTTTTTCCTCGTTGTCTTTACTCAGTTCACCGACGTGATTTATGTAAACGTGTTCGCCACAATGACAGCACAGCAACAAGTCCCACGGTGCCAGTCAATCGATCGGACTCTCTTCGTTCTACCGTTTACCTTCACGCAGACGCCGTGGTGACTACTAAGCACGTCGCCTTAGTCGATTAGTACACGTTGTGCCATCGTGTAGTCACCATGTGTCAGTCAGGGACTAAAGACCTGTACAATCATAGCGTGCAGCTGAATCGTTGGTTTCTGAAGCCGATAGGCGCATGGCCACGATCCTCCGCGACAACTAAAAGCGAGAGAACCGTGTCCAACGCTTTGATATTCATATGTTATTTCTTAATAGCCCTGACCGTGTTGCCGTGCATATTAAACCTCCTCTTTGAAGAGAAGAATCTCGATCTAAAACTGCGGATGATTGGTCCGTTGAGTCATTGGTCCATGGGCGGAATGAATTATTGCTTCCTCTTGCTACGTAACGCCGACATACTCCGATGTGTGCAACATATGGAAACGGATTGGAGAATCACGAGACGTCCTCAGGATCGCGACATCATGGCGAAAAACGCGAGACTGGGTCGCTTCGTGGCAGGTATCTGTGCGGTATGCATGCACAGCGGTGTGTACATCTACAGCGTCGTGGCCGGAATGAAGACGATAGAAGTTTCGATCGGTAACAAAAGCGTCCCAATGGTGCAGCTACCATGTCCAGTGTACAGTAAATTCGTTGATACTAGGTTCAGTCCAGCGAGAGAGATCATGTTGGTGATGCAACTGCTCTCGGGCTTCGTAGTGAATTCTGTTATTGTTGGCGCGTGCAGCTTGGCTGCTGTCTTCGCTATGCATGCGTGCGGACAACTCGACATCCTGACCCTGCGTCTGAACAATCTTGTCGAAGATCAGGACGAAAAGAAAAATGACTCGGCTAATAAAAAGATGGCTGACATTGTGGATCATCATTTGCGCGTCTTGAGGTGCAAAATTTAAATATCTGAAAACAAAACATAATTTTAAATTTATTGTATGATCGTAAATTTAGATATTCAGTTGCAATTACATATATATATTAACATGGCTTAAAAACACATTTAAAAAATAGTATGATATTAATGTAATATTTGATGTTATCGCATTAATTTCAGATTTATAACGTACATCGAGAAAGTTATGAATCAAATATGTCTGGTAGAATTAGTCGGATGTACATTTAACTTATGTATGATTGGATATAACACCATTACGGTATGCTAATTATCTTAAAAGGTGAATATGTAATCGAAATTAATTGACGACACTTATTTAGTAACGCTTTAAAAATTCTGTTACGTTCCTGAGAGAAAATGCGCTGTAATTTTTTCAGTGGTGGCATAAAATTGATACGTCGGCTATAGTGGCATACGTTATCGTATATGCATCAATGAGCTTTAACGTTTTCATATTTTGCTATATAGGTGAAATTTTAACGGAACAGGTAAGAAAGCAATATCGACTAAGACAGATATCAATACATTAATAAATTAATGTTTAATGTTTAATTTTATGCATTAATGAATAGTTAATACAACTTATTATTTATAAGTGTAAAAAAGTTGGGGAAACAGCATATATGATTGATTGGTATTACTTACCTCACAAGACAGCTCTTGGCTTAATCTTGATTATATCAAGATCAGGCGCTGTGATTAAAATAACTGCAGGAAAATTGATTCA